CGAATCTATAGTTTTTAGAATTTTTGTCTGTCTGTCTGTTACCGCATCACGAGAAAACCACTGGACAGATTTTGATGAAATTTGGTATGATGATAGCTGGTTATCCAGGTCAACATATAGGATACTTTTTACCGCGGGAAAATATCTCATTTAGAAAAAATACAAAAACTGCATTGTAAGAGTATACTAATATGTAAAACATAAGAATTTGGTTTTTGGTCATCTGATTGCGAGCGGAGCCGCAGGCAGTGCTAGTAAATACATATATGATGATGATGATGATGTTGTCCTATTATTCCCTCGTGGAACTTAGGGCTGCAGCAGTAGTTTTCCATGCCCTTCTATCCTTAGCTACTGCTTGGACATGGTTCCACGAGATTCCTACCCTTCTTAGGTCCGCCTCAATGGACCTCCTCCAGGTGTTAGTTGGTCGACCAGGTCTTCTTCTACCGGCAGGCTGCCATTGGAATGCTACTTGTGCAGTATTCCCTTCCTCTCTTCGCAAGATATGCCCGACCCAGCGCCATCGCCTTAGACCTATCTCCTTGCATACTGGGAGTTGATGGCATACTTCCCACAGATCTTTGTTTCTGATAGTGTTAGGCCAGTGGATACGGAGAATAACCCTAAAACACTTATTGAGGAAGACCTGAATCCTGTGGATTAGCGACTTGGTTGTCTTCCATGTTTCACACCCGTATAAAAGGACTGACTTTACCAGAGAGTCAAACAGAGAGATCTTTATCCGTCTCGTTAGGACATTTGACTGCCAAACTGCTCTCAGGGTTGCAAAAGCAGCTTTGGCTTTTTTAATCCTGCTCTCTACATCTGCCTCCGCACCGCCACCAGAAGTGATTATGCTACCAAGGTAGCATAATTCATCTACTCTGTCAATCAGTTGGTTATCCAAATAAAGAGGTTCCAAAGCCTGAGAGTTAATCCTCATCTCTACCGTTTTCTTAGCATTTATTCGCAAACCAATAACAGATGCTTCCTGTTGCAGGTCTTTTAATTTGGACTTAATATGTTCAAGCCGATTTGATATAAGTACCAAGTCGTCTGCATAGTCAAGATCTTCAAGTTGCCTACTACTCCATGGTATTCCTCTCGGGTTGTTTGTAACACGACGCATCACGTCGTCGATGAGTATTATGAATAACAACGGCGACAAGAGACATCCCTGCTTAACTCCAGACGTTATTCCAATAGCGGGACTCAGTGTACCATCATGAACAACCCGACAAGAGCTACCGATGTATAGGTCGCGAATAATGCTTACTATTTTGGCAGAGACTCCTTTTTTTTTTTTTTTTTTTAACGTTGGGAAATGCATTTACGCACGAAGTGTGGGACTCACCGGCGAAGCCAGTACTACCCACTGAAACCCAACAAAACCTTCCCCCGTCTTAATGGGGCGTCGCAGGATCGCTTACGCATTCAACTACGACGCCCCGACGGCAGGTCTGCCGAAGCAGACCACAACAACCATGGGGTTGCTCCACAGTCCACTCTGCTATCAGAGAAGTACCAGGAGCAACCCGCATGGTACACCACCCTCCGAAGAAGGCCGCCTCCCACCGCCCACCGAAGTGGGCCACCTCCCTGTGCGTTTCTTGGCTTCGCGAGTACACTACTGAGCCCCCCCACCACGACAAGGTGAACGCACGTTGGGGGGGTGGCAGAGACTCCTCGACACTCTAGGCTTTACCACAAAGCCGACCAGTCCACAGTGTCGAATGCTTAAATGTCGAATGTCGAATGCGTAAATACATATATACTGTATAACATAAAGCCAAAGTTTTTTTAGATTGAACGCGGGCATAGCCCCGGGTTCTGCTAGTATTTGTATATCATTACTATCAATTAAATTCAAATATACTATACAGTATAGACTATTAATACACGAACGAGTGTCATGAACAGATGTTTGCAAAGTTATGTTCCGGAAGCGACAGACTCGAGACGCGATATGCAAAGCAAATATTATATCTTCTATAAATATATGAAATATTCGTAGATATATCGGATGAAGACATTACATAGAAAGTAGTTGTAATGAAGTATTGAAACTGTAACTTGTGATTGTAATCTACGATTATCGATATTTCACGATTAATCGATTAATCGTAATCGTCGATTATAACCATTGCGATTTTCTAGTGATTAATCATGATAATACTTGGATTTACGCAAATATTTGACATTTTAAATAAAACTATCTTTTCGGATATTTTTGCGGACTTATTTTAATTTTTTGGTTCCCGACGTTTCGAATGCATTACAGCGAACATGGTCACGGGAGAGACTAAGGTGTTAGATGTTTCAAAGGTATTAATTATATAGTTTATCTCCACACAAAAATTTACGCCAATCAATCGCCAAATGAAGGACAAACAAACAAACACACTTCACATTTATAATATTAGTATGGATTTTACAACAGGCATTGCTAACTTATGACAAATTTCAATACTAATAAAAAAATAGAAGAAATGAACAATCAAACATATATACATTCGTCATTTGCATTTATAACATAGCAGTGTAAATTGTGACAGTGATTTTGAATAGAAGTGCATATTAATGCTACAAGTGTTTTTTAGTTGGTTTGTTTGTTTAAGAAGTGTAACTAATTAATAGCTAATTCTACGTACTTATATTATATATCTTTAAAAGTGAACTAAAATTTCATATTTCATTTCCATTAAAGTGTGTAACTCAATAAATGATTACACTCAGACGCTACGAGGCAGTTAATTGGTTATCGCGTAGAGCGCTTCATATGATCTAGTTACTAGAAATTTGATTATTTACTGTGTCTGATACTGGAAAATGGTATGAAACCAATATCCATACTTATATACTTAATATTATAAACGTGAAAGTGAAAGTGTGTTTGTTTGTCCTTTTTTTCACGTCGAAACTGATTAACAAATTGGCGTGATTTTTTGTGTGGGGATAGTTGGAGGGCTGGATAGTGACAGAAGTTACTTTTTGGCACTGAAAATTATTTCATTCCCATGGGAAAATATATATAATGATGTTCTCCTGACCGAATCCGGCCACGGCGGCCAATCTCATTGAGATTAGCCAACTGCGCAGGAGATATTATAGTGCACAAGTGTACGCGCAGACACAACGTGCACTCTCTATTCCTGTCACTCTCATACTCTGGTGGGACGAATAATATAACATATATGGTCTCTCTATTCCATACCAAAAGTTAAAACGTACCTAGAGACGAACCCGAGCGAAGCGAGGGTGAGTCGCTAGTTAATGTACCTATATAAATATAAATCGGACAAGTGCGAGTAGACTAGCACACCAAGAATAATGTTAACGACTTTAGAATTCTATACTCTACAATTATTGGCGGGAACAAAAAGTCGCTGAGAAAAATCTAACTGAATTTTGAACACAGACAATCAGAGAAAACGGATTTTTTTATTGATTTTTTCGCGGATTTATGCAATCATGGTCACCAAAAATCAAAACAAATTCGCGAAAATCTGAATAAATAGTATTTAACACTATCCATTATGTCTTGTCACTGAGCTGCGGCGTATCAAATTCAACAACGTGCAGCCGATTACAGTGAAATTTGGTACTTACATGGGTATTTGAATTATGAAGGATATCATCGCGTTATCTTATAAGATAATGCTATAAACCTGTTTATCTGACTTTGACAAAACTCTTGTGAGTTGGACATGCACTTTAGCATAATAATAATAATAAAAAACATACACAGTAAACAATATTATACACAAAAACAAACATACCTACATGTATTAACTATTATGATATAGAACAATTTATACATATAATAAAATTGTAACTAAGCCGAATCTGTACATTAGATATTTTTTGGAACATCTTATTGAAATAAACATTATTATCGATACAGAGGCCGAATATATAGTTTTTACAAATATAAATTATACTTTTTGTTTAATTAAAGTAATCGTAGCCGAGGCAGCGCGTGTGCTTGGAAATCTAAGAGAACGGGTCAAACCCCGGGTCTCGCACTTGTAGATTTTTCATATGCGTATCTATTTTAAACATGATTACATTGTAAATAATGAACTATGCGTAATGAAGCCTGCATGTCTGAGAGGCCTTAACTAGTTTTCAAAAGAAATGAAGCCCACTAATCCGCGTTAGGCCAGCGTAGTGGGTTACGGCCTACTAAAGCTAAAATAAACAGTTTGGAAATTAGATTAACGATAGAATTAGGGAATTTTGGCATTTTTAGAGATGTTGCCCAGCAGTGGGACATTAAAACCGGAATTATTTATCATAAATTATATTAATTACATTGTCATGTAAAATTTTCATCCTAAACGATCCTTGTTTAAAGCAATAATTAAACAAATTTATAGGCATTTAATGTTTCACAATTCACCTAAAATTATTTTATTCATAAGTATACGAATTTCATAAATTAAAAATCGATACATCTGTCTACTTATAATAATAATTATAAATAGCAACATTCACTTGAAATATAGAAATTCTGAAGAGATATAAAGAGTGCTGGATCTAAAAAGGCCGTTACTGTGCGAGTACCACATACATATGTATTAGTTGTTACATGTACCTACGTCCCATTTTGTTATAGCAATACTTATATCTATACTAATATTATAAAGAGGTAAAGTTTGTGAGTTTGTGACGTTGTAGGGGGTAATCTGTGGATCTATTGAACCGATTTAGATGAAATATCGTAAGCGGATAGTTTGAGACCCTGGGAAGGACATAGGATTTTTATTCCGGAAATTATCCCTTATAGGGGTGAAAATGGGGATGAAAGTTTGTATGGTGTATTAAGCTAGGGACGAACCCGAGCGAAGCGAGGGTGAATCGCTAGCTTGAGTCATTGTCTCTTAAAAGAGATAGATTTTGATTGCAAGAACTCAGCTTTTATTTAAGACCCTGGAACCCACCCATAGTAGAGCTGTGATAGCTAGTTACCACTGAAAAAATGTTATTTTACTTACGTTTACTCTCAAGACGCGACGGCTCGGTTGCGACATGCTTCAGGCCGGTGGTCGACATGTCCTTTATACTACAATTTAACAGGAACCATCTTATTTCAACTGGAACAAAAATAAATTTATTATTAAACTTACATAGTAATTTTTGATTTCAAACCCACGCACTAGACGACTGAGTGTCTAAGAGGGAATTTATTTTAGTTTACATTTTCATACATCAATCATCATTAAGTTGTCGTCATTTTGGCTGTTTATTTCGTTATATATAAGAAAACCACCAGACTCATATACGAGTGCTTTTTAAAAATATATATTTGCCGAATGAATATTCTTTGATCGATTCCAAATGACAGTTTTACCTTTTTTTTCTTTGGTATTTAATGAAATAATTGAGTTGTGTAATTGTAAATTTTCTTTATAGAATTAAATAAATATAAAATAAATAAATATGTTGGCACATTACCACACAACACCATCTAGTTCCATGGTAAGCTACGAGGCCTGTGTTATGGATACCAGATAGTTGATACACTACACATATATAACACATTCGTGTTCATCACACAAATGAATGCACTATGCGGGACTCGAACCCGCGACCGTTGGCACAGCAAGTAGAGTCACTACAAACTGAGCCAAATGTGTCATCAATTTGTTAAAATATAAATATTTTTTTCCATATTAATTGTGATGATATAAAGATACTTGAAATAGAGGCTTTAAATGTTGTTTCTATTGTTTTCACAGAAAAGCAATCACGTCTTTATTTCTTAATTAAGAGAATCATCATTATAATATGTACATATACAAATAATGCGACAAAAACTTCGATTGTGGAAAGATTTTTAACAATCAATTTTATTTAAATATTTTAGATAGATTTACGAGGGCAGTGGTAGCCCAGTGGTTACGCGCTTGCTTGGGGAACCGAGTGAAGCGAGTTCAAATCCCGGTTCTCGCACTTCTGATATTTTCATATGCGAATCATTTCCAACATGATTACCACTTCTTTTGACGGTGAAGGAAAACATCGTGAGGAAACCTGCATGTCTGAGAGATCCTAGCAAGTTTTCAAAAAACCTGTGAAGTCCGCCCGCACTTGGCCAGCGTGGTGGACTAAGACCTGATTCCCCACGTACTGAAGGGAGCCCTCGCTCGGGTTCGCCCCTAGGTGCGTTTTAATTTTATTGAGTCCAGCGGTTTCAGAGATTATCCGGAACAAACAGACAGACAAACATTTTCACAATTGTGTTCTTATAAGTACAGTTCATAATTTCATATACATTTAGTAAAAAACTGTTATTTTGACATTACAAACAGACACTTCAATTTTATTTATCTGTACAGATGAATTATAGAAAAACATACGTAGGGGTTAAATATTTTTAACTAGGTAAAAACTATTTAGGTTTGTAAGTTAAGTATACCTTTATATTTGTGTTACGACAGCTCTATATTCAACGTTTAGTTATAAATACAAAAAACGACTTAGGTATTACTAATTACTTTTTAAAGCCCACGCACTACGCGACCGCGACAGAGAACACGGTCGTTGGCGACAGGGTAGGAGGGGATTTTATTTTGGTTCCCATTTTCATACATAAATCATCGTTAAACTGTCGTCCCATTTTGACCGACTGTTTTTTTCGTACATATACATACATACGTCGATTGTGGACCTCACCGAATGAGCGCTCATATGAACATTTGAGCGCGCTTTTAATTTTTTTTTGTGAAAACAACTTTAAGCTTTGCATTTAAGGTTCAATTTACATTGTTGTATATTTATTTCAACTAGAATAATTACCTAAACACAATTGGTGAGTTTTAAGAGAACTTTTGCATGGGATTGTGTATTTACTTACTTTTTTGATCGATATTTATATTTAAATAAATTATACTATGATAAAATTAAAACAAAACATACGGAGGAATGGATCGTTTTTTTAGTGAATAATATTAGTTAGATTGTTATGAAGTCTTATTATATTTGCCTTATATTTTACGTAATTTAGTTTCGTTTTATATTTAAAAGCCAAAAATAAACAATTGTATTCAGCCCTTTTTAACGTCCCAACTGCTAGGCACGGACCTCCCTTCAATACGAGGGGGATCAGGCCATAGCCCACCACGCTGGCCAAGTCCGGGTTGGCGGACTTCACATGTCTTTCGAAAACTTGCTAAGTTTTCTCAGACATGCAGGTTTCCTCACGATGTTTTCCTTCACCGTTAAGATAAGTGGTAATCATATTGGAAATGATTCGCACATGAAAATATTAGAGGTTTCCCAAGCGAGCGCGTTACCACTGGGCTACCACTGCATGTCAAATAAACAATATTTAATTATAATAGAAGAAAACATTTAAAAAATGCACGAAAATGCTTTCTTCGACCCGGCCAATAATAATACGACGTACGTGCCAAGTTTGGTGACGTGCGTGACAGCGCATAGATGCACTGTATAAACTATTTCCTCAGTAGGTATATTTATATTGCTTTATGAAAATAAATACCATTAAGAGACCAGTTGCTTAGTAAATATAAGTTTAAACAAAAAAAAAACTAAAACAAACCTATCCCACGGGAACCTTACATTTTTCCGAGTTTGAATACTCACTGGGAGAATATCCTTATTTATATATAACTAGCATTGCCCGCGGCTCCGCCCGCGTTTAGATGACCAAAACCCGAATTATTAGGTTTTATATATTAGTATATACTCTTACATTGAGTTTTTGTATTTTTCTCAAAAATGAGATATTTTCCCGCGGTAAAAAATAGCCTATATGTTGACCCGGATAACCAGCTATCATCATACCAAATTTCATAAAAATCTGTCCAGTGGTTTTCTCGTGATGCGGTAACAGACAGACAGACAAAATTTCTAAAAACTATAGATTCGGACTCTGTATCGATTACGAGTATAATGTCTATTTTAATTAGATTTTCCAAAAAATATTTAATGTACAGATTCGACTTTGTTACAATTTTATTATATGTATAGATAATTGTCGGACAATAACAACGGTTACCATGGCAACATGACAATGTATTCTATCTCATTTTCTCGCCGGCTTAATCCTATATATTTATGTGTTTTTCTCTTTTTAGTGTCGCATTTCCGTTTTATCGAGTTTCAAATCACAACGATTCTAAAGAAGTTTCACTTCAATAATATTAGTTTACAATATTGCAATACAATAATTATGGTCTTATCCTACGTCAGTATTAACTTACAGTAAATTCCACAGATTTAGATCTGCAAAGTATTCCGTGAGGGAATAATATTCTTTGCTCATTGCTACATTTGAAATAGTATATTTTCATCGCTACTAATCACATAACTTCGTAGAATCCCTTTTTAAACAACAGGGTCAAAAGTAACATTGTTTTATTCCTACAAAGCGAAAATTAAAATTAGACAGACGGAGCATGACCTAAATTGTTGGAATTAAATAATAAAAATCGGTACCTACAAGGATGTTTCAAAATTTTTTATTGCTTAAAGTGAAAAGGATATACTTTGAAACTTTTCTGTGAGATGTTCTTTTGAGTGGCAATTTCATAATTATTTTCTTTGTTTACAAGTACATTTTAGAACAAAGAAAAGAAATGCTTGTATTCAGTATTTTTATTAAGTATACCCACAAGGTGCAGTTTGATGCTTTGTCTTTTCTGTTGACATCCGACACATTACATGACTTATGTATTAACTAGCATTGCCCGCGGCTCCGCCCGCGTTCAGATGACCAAAAACCAAATTCTTAGGTTTTACATATTAATATACTCTTACATTGCATTTTTTGTATTTTTTCTTAGAAATGAGATATTTTCTCGCGGTAAAAAGTATCCTATATGTTGATACGGATAACCAGCTATCACCATACTAAATTTCATCAAATTCCGTCTAGTGGTTTTTGTGTGATGCGGTAACAGACAGACAGACAAAAATTCTAAAAACCATAGATTCGGCTTCTGTATCGATAATAATGTCTATTTCAATAAGAATTTCCAAAAAATATTTAATGTAAAGATTCGGCTTAGTTAGAATTTTATTATATGTATAGATAATGCTGGTACATTGCTGTTAGAGATGTTTTAATTATTTAAGTAAAAATAAACTGCCTTGGATATCTCTACCACAGATTACATAATACTATACTCTTCTTAACACGTTAAATAAAAACCCAAAACCAAAATGTTTATTCAATTTTCAAATATATTTGCTTACCAAAATTCATAACTACCATCAGTATTCAACGTAAAGAAATCGCTCAATACCCAAACACAACTAAACCTAAAATAAAAATTCTAATTGTAGGTACTTTTAAAAAATAATTTATACTGTCAGAATCTAAATATGGTACATATTTTATTATTAGCTTAGAAACAAGGGTAAGAAATAAGTCTGTTATAGGCATTAAGCAAATACTACAAGACACTACAGCAAATACAGCAAGATCGTTCATTAACGACGCCACATTGTAAGTGGGTCAATGGCATTTTCAATTACCCTCTATTTTATTACTTTCTTATCACAAATCGAAGAGTCACTTGTCATCTATACCTATAATAAAATTCTAACTGAGCCGAATCTGTACTACATTAAATATTTTTTGTAAAATCATGTTGAAATTGTCATTATTATCGATACAGAGGACGGATCTATAGTTTATCGATCTTTTGTCTGTCTGTCTGTGACCGCATCACGAGAAAAACTCTGGGCAGATTTTGATGAAATTTCATTATAGCTGGTTATCTGGGTCTACATATAGGATACTTTTTACTGCGGTAAAATTTCTCATCTCTGAGAAACCTATAGGTACTAAACGTTAAAACGTAACTAGGGACGAAACCGAGCGGAACGAGTGTGAGTCGCTAGTTTGTAAATATTGCTTTTTTGCAAGTCTATATATATTAGAAAATAAGGTTGTTTTTAGATATTTAATCTAGAATGTTTGATGAAATCTAGCTTAAAACTTTAATCATAAATGTTAGAGAAAAAAATAAATTCATGCGCGTTGAAAAAGATTATAGTAACTTTTGAAATGCTACCAACACAGATAAAACAAAAAGAACATTTAGAGTAGATCTAATTAAGA